TCAGTTGCGACTTGCGTACGTGGCCTCTGAGGCCAACACTGCTGATGTGTTCACCAAGGCACTCGCGCCTTGTGACCATCAGCGCTTTTGCACCCAGCTGGGTCTTGTACCTGTCTTGCCTCACTTGCTCTCCTCTTGACTTCACTTGTACTGTGACATATATATATACCTGCTCTTGCTTGTCTAGTTTTATATATATGTCTGTACTCCTACATGTGAACTGGCCTCTGGCCCTGCTCTTGTGCTCGGACTGTGTGGTGACTTTGTGATCCACCCTGAGCTTGCTTTGCTTTGCTTTGCTTGACTGGTCTTGTGACCCCTTGTTCTCCCCCACTTAGCCTATGGGGGTGTGTCAGAGTATTATAGCTGATGCATGTTTGTAGGCTATAGTGGGGTAGCACATATGGGGTACAGCTTTCTAGGGTTGTATTTGTACCCAACTCTGACTTAGTCATTTTCATTCCTGTTCACTTGTTTCACACAGGGAACCGTCGCGGGCGCCAGGGGCGGGTCCACGGTGGCTCAGGGAACCGTCGCGGGCGCCAGGGGCGGGTCCGCGGCGGCTCAGGGAACTGTCGCGGGCGCCAGGGGCGGGTCCGCGGCGGCTCAGGGAACCGTCGCAGGCGCCAGGGGCGGGTCCGCGACGGCTCAGGGAATCGTGGCGGGCGCCAGGGGCGGGTCCGTGACGGCTCAGGGAACCGTCGTGGGCGCCAGGGGCGGGTCCGCGATAGCTCAGGGAACCGTGGCGGGCGCCAGGGGCGGGTCCGCGACGGCTCAGGGAACCGTCGTGGGCGCTAGGGGCGGGTCCGCGACGGCTCAGGGCACCGTCGCGGGCGCTAGGGGCGGGTCCGCGACGGGCAGAAAAAACGTTACGCGCCACCCGGGCGCGGGACAGAACGAAAATCGTCACGCGCCCGAGGCGCGCGAACGGAAAAATAGTAGCGGAAGCGTGAGGCGGGCCCACAGGCCAGGACGTAACTCGCTCTAATGCCATGTTGAATAACGAGCTTAAGAGGTAGTTGAGAGTTAAGTGGGGGCCTAGGCTTAGTAGCCTAGGCCAAGGAGAAGTCGAGTGGTTTGTGCCAAGAGAGAGGAGAAATGAATGGTTCAATATGAGAAAGAGGTACAAGATATAGTTCAGGAAAGGGTGCACCACCAAGAAAGTACAAATATAGAACTACACTACACTAGAACTACATGCAGTTATAACAGTATTCTGACATAAAAAACGCATACTTCAGCGATATTTAAATACCTTACCAATTGTTAAAGAAGTAGCTGCCGGAACGGCGCCTAAACGTAAAAATTTGCGTGCATGTTCTCCAAGAAAATGTTGAAACTCGTCGACCTGAAAAGGGGAATGTTTTGGTAAATGGAAGGGGGAAAGTCCTGAATCACGCTCTGACGTGGGCTCTGATGTGCAAATGTTCACCAAGTAAGGTAAGGGATAAATCGCCGGTGAATAAGTGGCATCATGTTCAGTAGGTTCCATCACAACAAGAATGCTAGTCTGGTGACCATTGGAAAAAAAAATGGGAGGGGAGAGACGGGGTAGGTTGTGGGTATTACTACGGGAGGTACAGGTGTAAAGGGGAATCATGGGAGAAAGGTGAAAGCGGTAAAGCTGAGGGAGTAATGGGCGGACGTTTTGGGTAGGTTTGCTCGGGTGTGCTGACGTGTACCTATCGGAAGGTGCAGATTGATTGACTCTTTATAGCAGAACAATGATTGGTTCAAATTGATTTGTTGGCTCCCACGTCACACCTCCAAAGAAACCATCTGCCGTTTGTGGGTTGGGTTGGGTGGTTGGGTTCAGATTTGAGAAAAAACGAAAACGATGTATGCACGTTTGTAGCCTCGCTAGATTTCGTGGGGTCGTTCAGTTTCGTAAAATTTGTTGTTACCATGGCCACTGTCAACGTTACACTGCCAAAACGCTTTCAAACTCTCTAAACCGCGCAAAACCGAGTGACTCGTAAATGTTGACGGAACTGCAACTTTGCGGTCACATTTTTCCGCTGGTTTCCGCATTCGCAACTAGTGTACAGAAAGTCGCTTTTTGCGTGCGTTTTTTTTTTTACACTTCGCGCAACTCAGTCGCAGGTTTTTCGCAGAAAAACCTTCGAACCCCCAAAATCGCAATTATCCTTTTCCGCGATGACGCGTCGCCCGAAGATAAATCTATGGCTGACGATAGCAGCACAGTGGTGGTCAACTGGGACGGCGCCACCACCCCGGCCACCGCCAGAGGGACGACGTCGGACTCTCTCGTCCATTGCACGTCGGACTCTCTCGCTGCTGCGCTCTTCGCAATGGACGACCTCCCTTCGCCACTCGCGCCGCCGCCGCACACCACGCTCCCGCTCCCGCCGGCCTCGCAGCGTTGGATCCCAGAGCATCTTAGAGGGCCGCGGCCGCCGCGGCGTGTCTGCTCGCCCAGCTGCCCTCTCTTTCACGAGAGAGACTCGTTGCGCGTCAACCAACCGCCGGCATCTGTCGAACTGCAGACACAGCCGCCTCTCATCATGAGAGAGCTCAAGGTGGAGGAGGCTTTGGTTCACCCGCACCCGCTGATTGAACCGTTGCTGACTTGCGTGGGCGGGCTGCAGGGAGGACCCGCGCCCATGGGGATGCATGCGGGGATCCCTCGGAGTGGAGGGGGCGCGGGGGAGGAGTTGCGAGACTTAAATAAGCCTGCTGGGGCTGTTGATGCTTATGATGATGATACTGCTGCTATTGCTGCTGTGCAAGACGCGAGCGGGGAGGTGCAGATTCAGCGCATGCTGGCTGGGCTGTCGCACCTCGCACGCTTCCTGCGCCTGCAGCAAGCACAGCAGCAGGAGGCAGCGGCAGAGGCAGAGGCAGAGATGGGGGCAGAGGAAGAGGCAGAGGCGGGGGCAGAGGCAAATGTCAGAATGTTATCTTATGTTCTAGCCTGTAGTGGGGTGCTCTATAACGAGTACAACCCTTCTAGGGTTTGCTATTTGTATCCCCATTTCTGCTAGTTCAATCTTCTTTCTTTCTTCAAACTTTGTCATGGTATCAGAGCAGGTCGATCCCCTTGGATCGATCCTGTGGGTGGACTTACCACCTCGTTGCTTCCGCTGCAACTCCTACTCCTACTACTATCAACTACTCTCTGAGCCGCACGCCCCGTGGCGTGCGGCATTTTTTCTTCCCGCCGTGCGCCCCGAGGCGCGCGGCGGTTTTCTGCCCGCCGTGCGCCCCGAGGCGCGCGGCGGTTCTCTGCCCGCTGTGCGCCCCGAGGCGCGCGGCGGGCTTCGGCCCCGTCGACCGGCGCGTCGCCCTCGGGAGGCGCCGCGACGGGCGACGGGGACCCAATCGTCACCTCCCGTCGCCCGTCGTGGCCTACGCGCGGCCCGTACAGGCAGCGCGCGGCCCGTACGGGCTGCGCCAAGCCCGCGCGCGGCCTGTATGTGCGGCGCCAGGCCCGCGCGCGGCTCGGGCCGCCTCCCTACCTGCGGCCCGTTGCCCCGCCGTCCCGCCTCCCTACCTGGCCGCGGCCCCGTCGTCCCGCCGCCCTACCTGCGGCCCCGGCCCCGTCTCCCTACCTGCAACCCTACCAGGCCCGTGGTGGGCCCCTTCCTCCACACCGCCTCCCCCCCCCCCCCCCCCCCTTTTCCCGTCGTCTGTCGTGGCGACCTGAGGGGCGAGCTGTGGGGTGGCGGGTATGGGGGTGACCGGTGTGCATTCCTCCCTTTGCTCCTCCTCCTCCTTCGTCTCCCACTGCTGCAGCTGTCGCTGAGGGGGGTGGATGTGTGGGAGACTGGGTTTAGGGTTTAAGGGGGGTGCGTGGGAGTGGAGCTAGCGGTGTAGCAGCGGGTGTGTGTCAGAGGGGTGGGACTGTATGGGGAAGTTGCACGGAGGTTGCCGTCGTGTCGCCAGCAGCACCTGTAGTCCGGGGACTTCGTCCGGAAGCCCAGTCGTAGCCAGCTGTGCCAGCCGCCCGTGGGTCCGTTGCCCGTCTGCCGATACTTAAGCCGCGGGGCCTGTTACTCCTGCATTCCGGGGGCTTCGCCCGGTAGCCGCTGTGCCAGTCTGCCTCCTGTTGCCCGTGTGTCTGCAGCTTCAGCCGTCGCCTCCTATCTCCTCTCCCCTCACTCTCTCTCCTCCTCCTAGCTTGCCCATTGTGACTACCACTAGCTTTGCTCATAATTGTGAACTCTAAACTATTGCTTCTTGAACTTGTGCTCAGAATGTGTGGTGACATTGTGATCCACCCTGAGCTTGTACTGCTTTGCCTGCTCTGCTGATTACACCCCACTTTGGCTATGGGGGTGTGTCAGAATGTTATCTTATGTTCTAGCCTGTAGTGGGGTGCTCTATAGCGAGTACAACCCTTCTAGGGTTTGCTATTTGTATCCCTATTTCTGCTAGTTCAATCCTCTTTCTTTCTTCAAACTTTGTCAGCAAAACCAGCGGCGGAGGCAGAGGCAGAGGCAGAGGCAAAAGCAGCGGTAGAGGCAGAGGGAGGGGAAACGGTGCTTTCAGACCGGGTGATGGCGAGGCTGCAGATGGGGAGAGGCAGCGAGGACGAAAGGCAGCAGCTCATGGCTGTCCTGCTGGCGCTCAAGCAGGAGGAGCAACAGCTTCCGCACCAAAAGCAGGAGCAGAAGAAGGAGCAGCAGAAGCAGAGCCTATGCAAGCGGCAGAAGGGGCACGAGTAGCCAGAGGTCCCCCAGGCTCTACAAGTGCAAGAGACGCAGGAGCAGCAGGAGCAGCAGCACCGGGAGGAAGGAGGGAAAGAGGAGGTTTGGCTGTCAGCTTTCTCGGCTTTTCCAGAGGCCGGAACATCAGCGAAGCAAGTGGAGGCCACCCTTGCTTCTACCTATTCTCCTAGATACGGCCCAGATGGCGCTCTGCGTGGTGCTAGTCGGTTGGAGTGCATGGGAGGGCGACATGTGGAGAGGAGCCGCAGCCGTGGTGGCAGTGACCCTGAGTATGCTCTGCGTGGCAGTAGCACCAACCCCAGTAGTGTCATGAGCAACGGGATCCACAATAGCAATGTGATGGTGGGAGCGCGTGGCACCAACAGTAGCCTTTTCAGCAGCTTTGCCACCAATTCAGCGAGCGATGCAGGAAGGAAGACAAAAAGCCCAGAGCGCCCCTCAGACCGCGCTACAGCCGCTCACATGCAGCAGCAGCACGCCAGGCAGACCCCAAGTGAGTGCTACAGCCGGAGTGTGCTGGGGCCCACCAGTGCCTCGTATGTGCAGCCGAACCCCGCCACTGCCATAGGCGCTCATTCAGGGACGTCTGTCCCAGCCAGTGCTGCCATAGGGGCGTCTATCCTGGGCCCTGCCATAGTTGACCCACATATCCTGGTGCCAGAGGTGAGGGAGGTGAGGGTCACCCCCTGTGATGTGCCGGCGCAAGTGGGCGGGGTGAGAAACGAGAGTGAGAGCAACGCCCGCGAGGGCGACGCGCACGACGAGTGCGGCACGGACGACGAGTGGCTGCCTCGGTGCCAAGGCATTCGGAGTGGTTTGGCGCCGAACCAGAGGATCAAGAGCCGGACCATGGCGGAGCGGCGGAGGAGGGAGAGGATCAGTGAGGGGCTGCAGAGGCTGAGGGCGAAGGTGCGGGGGCGAGGGGACACGTGTGCGATGTTGGATAGAGCAGTGGGGTATGTAGATGCGCTAGAGCGGAGAGTGGAGGAGTTAGAGAGGGTTGTAATGGCGGCTGCTGGGTCTGGGAGGAACGTTTTTCCCGGCAATGCGTTTGCCGGTGATGGTGCTTTTGCCAGTTGCGGTTTTGCCGGTAACGTCTTTGTTAATAACGCCGCACAAATGGCGTCACTACTGGTCGCGTTGACATCGGTCCCGGCCCGCCTTGGGGGTGAGCCTTGGCTGGATACAGCTTTGGTCTAAGGTGGTGGAGCTTGATATATTGATCCTATGGGCTTTTTGGAATCCAGGATTTTTCTTGTCAGATTCTTCTGAACTGGATATTTAAATGAATTTTGCTGAGTTTTTAAGAGTCTTCATGCTTCATATCCTTGAACCAAGCATCTTTGCTAGGCTTACGCATGATGGTCATGACAGTGCACAGACTTTTCAAAAGTAGAAGATTAAACCTAAGATGAAAAAGACAACAGAAACAAGTTAACAGTGAGGAGAACTCAACCGGTAATAATATGAATATGTTGTTCGTGTGCAGTCTGCTTATAACGAATCAAACGTTGCCAAATGGGAGCGTTGCCACAAGGGCAAACAGTTCGTGCAATCGCCCCTAACCGTGCTTGCTGGTTATGGTTCAATGCGGTCGAAAAAACTCGTCATAATCACGTGCGGAAACACACGCGGTTTGGACTGTGCTGTAACTTCCCAGCAGCACTTCGAAACGCGGACACCAGTTTCGGCAAAGATCGGCATTCCGGGTAAGAACACTGCCAGCCGTCGCGAGCCGTACCCCTTTTTAGGGCGTGGGCCCAAACGGGTTTGATCGCGACTGATCTGATCGGGGCGGATCTGATCGGGTTGCTTGTGATTGCAATGCCCGAGCCGCCCGATCAGTAATGTTTTTCTTAAAAGATTCTTCTTGGCTGCTCAGCAAGCGGGATTTAATTACCTGGTATTTTCGTGGCAATCTTAGCGAGACTGGCGACCAGACGGCTTCTGGCAAAACTCTCTGTATCCAAGTAATAGTGTAACTTTCCAGGGTGTTCTGTATAGGCTGGACATCTTCGTGAGGGATTGACGAATATCTGTAATACAGTGTAACTTTTCGTCAGTATCGCTGTGGTCCCTGATCACCCACGATCAACTGATCTCGGGTGATCGAAGAGAATCGACTATGATCGGGGGGTAAATCGGGTCTGATCGAGTTGGGGCGATCAGCTGATCGTGATCAGCTGATTGCCCCTGATTGCCTGAATTTGGCCTCCAGGCTTCCTGGAAAGTATTGATCGCGGCTGATCGAGGCGATCAAACCCGTTTGGGCCCACGCTATTATGACGTGGGCCCAATCGACTTTGATCGGCGCGATCAGAGGCGATCAAGAACTTCGAGGAAGGCGGAAAGCAGATTTCAGGCAATGAGGGGCAATCAGCTGATCGCGCCAACTCAATCAACCACCTCAAACTGCCCGATCAGACCCAAACAGACACAATCAGCCTCAATCACTTGATTGCATGTGATCGGCAACCTGGGCGATTTACACGAAATGTAACACAGCTCGCCATGAGGTCTCGAAAATCCTTGCGAATACACCCAGATCGGCGAGAACTGAGTGTTGGGACATGATGTTCGCGACATTACCACGATACTGAGATTCGTTCGTATCGCCAAAGTTGGGATGCAACTACCAGGTAATGGGCCGACAGTTTTCATGCAAGAGCACGAAACATTCGTGGAAAATCATCTCTGATTGGGCGGCGCGAGAAAAACGTTCACAAACAATCCGATCCGACCCGAACCGATCCGATCAAAGTAGATTGGGCCCACGTCCTTATTTCTGGGTGTTCTGGTTCAGGTGTTGGTGCGATCAGGTTTGGTCAGAAGAAGCGCCCAACCAAAGCCTCGATTTTCTCGTTTTCCGTTTTCCGTTAACCCCTCATGAGAGGGTGATTATATAAGCTATTATCTCCATTTGTTTAAGAGATCTATTGCACATCGGAAGACGCCAGAAGGAAGTGATATTACTTGCGTAGTGGTGTAAATGAGTGAGGTGCTGGATGTGGTTGCTTTGGAAACGATTGAGGTTAGCAGTTGCTAACTTGAGAAAACGCTTAAGAGTAGCGAGCGACTCAATATTTTAACTATGCATATAAACTCTCATGTGTGGTGTCCCGGGGAAAATGGCTAGAACTCGGTTCGTGGTGACTCTTGCTTTGAAAACACTGGGATAGGACCCGAACCGGCTCTTAAACTTTGAGAAAGCCGAGAAACCACATCCAATATTGAGGCCTGTGTTAGCTAAACCATGACCCCTAGGTTTTCGGGCACTAAGGGGATCTGGACTGGACTGCAATATCCTTCTGGAAGCTTCTCCATCTGCGGGTTCGTTTGGGCTCGCAGCCTTCTTTGGTAATTTCCGGATCCATCCTCCAGTACAGGTGGCGCTTCCGTCTTTCTGTGCCCACTTTCAGCTCACTGGCTTCTGGTCTGGCTCCAAAGTCGGTTGTTTTCAAATTCCAGCTCTGCGGCTTTCGGCCCAAGCCTCCAGCAGAGGCCGCCATCATCCAATCCTGCGCGTTCCATCTTGAATTGTCGCGTGCGGAGCAGTTGACGGTTGCCAGCGCACTAGATTTGCAATCCGATGTGGTACACCTGTTCCGCGTTATTTTCACACTCTAAAAATCGCGCACGCGGCTTTGTCTGTTCTGGGGGGTGTGAAGTTAGGGGTAAGAAAACTGTTCCGACTAATTTCACGCGCGCTGAGTCAGCGCGCGTGGAAAGTGAAATCCGAAAGTTGACTCAGCAGCTTTGACTTTGTTGAACATTCCTTGTGTGTAGGAGACACCTCCGAAAATGCAAAACTCAAGAGAAACAAATTCTTTAACTGGAAAAATGCAAGTACACCTGAACGTAAATGAAGGCCTACAAACAAAAACAGAAATTCGGAACATGATACAATGCTCCTTCCTTGCACACGTTAAAAGGCAATGGTACAAGGAGCACTATGTGTTTAGCCCAGCATACGCGAACGCCATGTTGTCTTCTGAAAGCAGGTCCCTAAAACTGTAGGTACCTGCGGCGCGATCAACCGCGGGACGAACATACCTCGCCATAGAGGAATCCGATGCGAACTCATGCAAGGCCGTCGTTGCCGCTGCTGCATCTGCAGCATCCATGCCTGCCTCAGAGGGGGGCGCGTCATTCAGATCGAATGGGACGCCGCGGTTTCCGGGTTGGGCAGTCCACCAACTCCTACCAACCCACTCCGTGTCGTTTGCAACGCGTGTAGAAGTGGCGACGTGGTCGTCACAACCAACGAACGCCCGAGCGGTCATTAAAGGATCGTCAATCTTCAGTTTTTTCATTAACACACATAGAGCTGTGATGTCAGCCGTCTCAGGATCCTTAGAAGGTCCTTGAAATAACCGTTCCAACCCCCACTCCTCCAACCAAGTGTACGGCACCACACCGGACCGACGCCAACACCTCCTTATGATCTCTCGACCCATAGTACTCCATACACCACATATCCATGTAATGGCAGTCCGCAAGTCGGGCCGGACAGTTTTCGTGCCTCTTGATCACGCGTGCGCTGAAATTGATCAAGCAACCACGTGACCAAAATTTTCCGGTACCGCAACTTCAATGTTGCGATGACACCTTGATCCAAGGGTTGTACGTGGGAAGTGCAGTTTGGGGGTAGATAAATTACCCTCACGTTCGGAAGCTCCACAACCTTGATCCCGTCCCTCCAAAACTCGCGCTTTCCCTCGATGTTATTGATGTTGTGTGCGCTTGCATTGTCCACCAATATTGCGATTTTCCGGTCCTTGAATCCCATGTCACCGTCCACCGCGTCCACCCATTGGGTGAAGATCTATGCGCAACACAAGAAAGCCAAAGAGAGTTGTGAGTAAGTTGGAAATAATGTTTGCATACACGACAAGTGGGAAGTGGCGGGGGTATTCATTGCTTACCTCTGAGGTCATCCATGCACGCCTATTTGCACGGTACCAAGTGTAGTCGTCCACGTGGAAATCGTTCCGGAATGAAGTCGGCCGCAATGCCTTTCCAATGACGATTGGTTTCATCAAATCGGTGCCATCGGCGTTGCAACACAATGCAAGGGTAAACCGTTCTTTGTCTAACTTCCCTCCCGCCACGGATTCGTTCGCGTACGTGCGACGCGGTTGTTGACCGGAGATAAATCCGGTCTCATCCATGTTGTACACATCCGCGGCCTCGTACCCAAAATCTTTGAGGATTTTCGGTATGGTCTCCCTAGCGAGGGCAATGGATTCAGCATTAGCATCCTTCGCCTCGCCCTTCCTCTGATACGACGACATCCCCATTCGTGCAAGCGCGCGGCATAACCACCCGGGAGAGACTGTGAAATCGCTAGGAAGACGCATAGCTTTGGCAAATGCCTCCGACTTTTGAAGAAGAACATGGAAGGTGATCGGTAAATTCGCTGCAGTGTGCCTAACAGCCCACGCATGCAACCTGGCCTCAAGGGCGGGAAACTTTCCCTCACGGAGGCGTTTACGGTCTGTGGGGAGTAAAGAGGGGCCTGTCCATTTGGTTGAGGCTTTTAGTATCTTACATACAGTGGTACGACACGGGTGTTTTTTGAAGTTCGTGAAGCACCATAACGCAAGCTCTTTCTGCGACAAGTTCGGGCTCCTAACACGATACTCGCATAATGCAGCCTTCTCGACACGAGTTAGAGCTGCATTTTTTTTAGGCTTAGGCATTCTGTTATGCTGGGAAGGCTGTTAGGAGGTGGAAAAAACACTGGCGAGAAATGTGGCAGTCTCTGGTGTCGAATGAGTTTGTTCTGAATTTTGAGTCTGCAAGCGATTCGATTTCGAGAGATGGTGAAGCTGGGTTGGACATTCTAATTTGTACACGTCAGGTTCATGTGTACTTGATTCAAGGAAGAATGCGTGCATTTTTTTGTGTGGTCGCGTTTTTGGCGCTGTGATTTTCGCCAATGCGAATTGAACACGTGAGAAATTTGAAACATCCGCAATCGGAGGATTGCGGATGCGAATTTCTGGATTGTGCCTGGAAAAGCGATTTCGCGCCTAGGTCAAACATGAAATGACCCCTTGCTGACTCAGCCGCGCGTGCACCCCCTTGTCAG